ATTTATATTATAGTCTGTTGCATCACTTGCATCGATCAGTCGCTTAGGCGGCGCGCAAACGTGTGTCTTGTGTTAGGCACAAGCAACTGGCAACCAGAAGGGAATATTCTATTTTTATACAATAGATATGAAATCAACACAGTCGCCCGTTGCGGCAACCGGACACAGTTGCTGGTTGCGGCAGTCGGACCCTGTCCCCGGTTGCCGCAAACGAAATTTATATGAAAATAGAATATTCGCTTCTGGTTGCCGGTTACTTGTATCTAGTGTTGAGCTATGGAAAAATTGTCATTGTGAAAAAATCAAATTTTTCAAAAAAATACATATTTTTCCGGATGTTTTTCCAATATTTTTCCTTTAGTTTTCCACATTTGGCGTTGACACCCGTCAAATGTAGAACTTACTGAACGAAAACGATAGAGTCAATAAAAAGGTTATTTTTTCGCTGTTTTGAAATCATTTTAAATCTAGTTTTTCTATAAGTGGGTTTTAGCAACACAAGTTTATTTTATAATCCACGCTATATGAGCCTTCAAAATTATATATTTCCAATTTTTCATTTTTTTTCGATTTTCGGGAATTTTTCCGGAAAATGATCCAACAGTATCCAACACTAAAAACACGTTTGCGCTGCGCCTTAGGTTGAACTTTAAAAAAACTTGCATCGCGGTTGTATCGCTGCTTAAGTCGCGCATGTGTGTAAAAGTAGCCAATTGGTGACTGCATCGCGACTGAATCGCTGAGGACACGCTGCTAAAAGTCACCGTGTATAACCGGTTCTTAGAGGCAGCAACAATATTATCAAATAGTTATTGATACAAAGATCAAACAACACAAAGAAAACATCCTTCAATCTGACAGGATTCAAACCGAGCCGGGCTACTGACCTAGTTGTTTCAGTTGGTAAGAGCGGTAGTCCCGACATGGCGACAGACGCTGGTTCGAGTTAGTTCGAAGGAATTTTTCTTTATGTTTTCCAATCGTTGGATAAATAACAGTAATAAACTAGTGGAGTACTATAATAAAAAAAATGTATGAATATCATGGTAAAACATGATATATTCAATAAATAAAGAAGGATGGCGACATCCCGTGTATTTTGTGATCCAGTGTTTTTGACGACGTGTGTATTGTTTGTTTGTAAGTGTATTGATAGGTCTCCTTAGACCTATCAATACTTGTGATTCATTATCAAAGCATTAAAAAAGCTAATTGAGTACAGGCCGTAGAAGATGGGGTTATAAAGTTGATATAGGTTATATTTATAATATTGTCCTGTATTTCGCTTCAGGTGTTTGTTCGAAGTAGCAGAAAACAACAAGTTTTCAGTTTGTTCCCAAAAATAATAAAGAACTTCCGGAATATTCTCAAATTTGCTAAACTCTGCCACATTTAGTATAACTTGTCATGTTCTGCAGCAATGAAAATGCATAAAAATTAAATCTGCCCAAATGGCAGAAATCTGCCGCAAATGGTCACACTGTTTTCAATATCAATGTGACAAGGATTCGCTCTGGACCTTTTGGAGGGAAAAGTGTCGTTTTTATTTTCACTTTCAATTATTTTGTGAAATCTAGTTTAAAGTGGAATAGGATAGTGCTATTGTGCCTTAATCGAAGATTAAAACGCGAAATTATATGAATCTCGAACTAGAATATCCGTATCGGCCCGTTTTAAGGAATCCCGAGTCAATCCAAACACGCCGCCTCAAATTGTCTATCCTCTTTGTGGCGGCCATATTTACAGAAACAAACTTCATGTTTAGGCTGATGGCTTTGCCAAAGCCTTAATAAATTAAAAAAAAAAAAAAAAAAAAAAT